TCCGGCGTTCTCCTGTCCCCGGGATGCTGGCTTCTGCCAGCGACCCTTGAGGACGGGTTTGGGGAAGGACCGTCTGCGGAGTCTTACCGCGGGACAGTTGCGCTTGAAGTGGCCCATCTTCCCGCAGCCGAAGCAGCGGATGTCACGCTGTTCGGCGGACCCGAGTTCCATGGGAACTGGTCCGTTGGGGCTTGTTCGACCGGGAGCCGACAAGGAACTCCCAGGCCATGCTGAGACCGGCGTACGCGCCTGGCGATGGCTGTACCCTTCTTGGAGAGCAACTTGAATCGCCTCTTCAAGGGTGCTTGACTGCCCCCGGAAACAGCTGAAGTGCGTGCGGGGGCCTCACTCGAAGGCCCGTCCCATGAACACCGTCATCTTGATGTGTTTCGTTGAGTGGGTTTTCCCACTCAGGACGTCCTGAGCTCCGTATCTCTTGCACATACTCGTGCAGTTCGCGCCTTCCTTGTTTACACGCGAGAAGCGCGAACGCTGGCGGTACTCGTAGTTCGCCGGGAGGAACGCGGCTCGAAGCTGTTCGCACAGCTGAGCCCAGGATGTGAAACATCCAGGGGATGTTTCTTCCCTTGTGTACACCCAACTCTTAGCACGGCTCGCTAAGGTTAAAGAGTGCAAAGGCAACACGCAGTTGCTCGGTCGAGTTTAGAGCCGCGTCCATCGCGAGCTCTACTTCTCGGACTCAGAAGTGAAGGTTCTCGCCTTCCTTCCCTTCATACGGCTTAACCTTCAGCCGTATTGGCTTCGGGTGAGGCGGATTTGCTTCCGCCGCCGGAGCCTGCAGGCTCTCTCGCACATGCGCGATGCTGCCCTGCTCGTACGCGTCGAATGCTTTGACGCGCTCGAGCTGCTCAGCCGGTGTTGACACCACCAGGCTCAGCAGGGCCTCCATCCCGAAGATGCCTGCCATCTTCCGAACCGACTCGAACTGAGAGTCGTTCAAATGGGAGAAGTCGTTCCTATCCATGGCAACGAACTTCGGAGAGGTTCAGGCAGTTCACAGGTCCTCTCTTTAGTTAAAGAGAGCGAAGTGACCTAAATAAGGTAGATTGTAAACTGAGTATATTTATAGGTAGGTTAAGTTTGAGTTTAATACAAACTATAAGTTACCTATAGAAAGGCAATGTCGTTTGACCAATGGTTGGCTTTGAACGACCTTGGTACCTTGTACCAAATATCCCGGAGTATGACGTGTCATACATTTGAAGTGTGAAGTGTCACTCTTAATGTAACCAGGGTACACTTAGGGCTACGTACCCCGTTACAGAATTAGTAGAGGGCAACTTCAACGTGCTCTCAGGTTTTGCATGTAGCTAGGGAGGCGTTGTGCTGGCAGTCGTTTCACTGCCACTGGCAGTGCCAGCAGTTGCATCCTCGGCGTATCCATGTTCGCGTCGATATGAGGATGCGTAAGTTGTGCGTCACTATGCGCCGCAGGAAAGTAGTGACCCAGGCAATATGACCCAATTTGCGCCGAAATAGGAATGTTTACGACCATTTTAGCGGTTTGCAAATTCATGAACAGTAAAGCGAAATCATCTTATTGTGTCGAGTCAAGCTTTGACTGGCAACCAGCTAGCTGCCGCTAGTAGCGACCCGCTACAGTATTAGCGTTCATATCTCACCGGTACATGTATTACGTCTAGGCATCGCGTGACAAGCCGCATCGCATAATAGATTTTTTTTTCAGTTTGGATCGAGCAAAATGGGAACAGTACTCAATTGTTCATCGGATTTTTGTTACAAAGTAACTATACCGGTACAGTAATTGTTGTGCCCAGGTTTCGAAGACAAGCGCACTGACAAAGACACGAAGCTGTGCTTCCGTCGATCTCGCCCCTAGTTGCCGCAGTTTCCTCCCTTCCCTGGCCGCATCTGCTCATGGATGAACCCCGCAGCATTCGCGGATTTCTAGGAAGGCGCAAGCACCGCAAGCACAAACGATCGAACGCTAATTCCCTAGACGATCCGCACGCTGCCAGCGCCAGCGCCAGCATCACCAGTAGCCTCACGTCCGACACCACTACCGTAAGTATGGAGGGAATGCTCAAGAAGCGCGTGGCCAAAATGCCGGTGATGCACGATCGTTACTGTGTGGCCACGTGGGAGCTGGACACCCACGACCGCAAGTGTGTCATGTTGCGCAGCTACAAGAGTCGGAAAACCTACGACGCGCACCCAGAGAAGCCTACGAGTGTGCACGAGATCAAGTGCATCAGCGACTGGGACGGGAAGACCGGATTCCACCGCTATCAACACGCTTTCACCATGGAGACACGCGATAAGAAGCTTTTTCAGTGTGTAGCTCCGTGCGCAGCCGACAAGGACAAGTGGCTCGAGCTTATGGCCATTCAAATCTGCCTTTCAGCAGCTCCCGTGACATGCGGTCTGGGGCAGCGTTGGTAGTCTTGTACCGGCTTCGACGGCACGCAAGAAGCGTCGAGAGTCTGGCGGCCGACAACGGGCAAAACTCCGAGCCTACACTGGCGCTCTCGATGGGGGAAAACAAGAGCTGAAGAGCCGCCGCGAACAATCGAAACAACTCGACCCGACTTCGAAAGACCAGAATCAACCTTTCCCTGGGACACGACGGAAATCTTTCAGGACCACGTTCGGGAAGGCTTCGAGGGACTCGGTCGAAACCTGCCCTAAT